AGTAACCAGTTTTGGACACTGGACACCTAGACACTGGAAAGCAAGAAGCTATAAAGAGCAGACTTAGCTGAGGTGATTAATTTTAACACTTGTATAGAGCCTCGGAGAAAACTGCTTCTTCACGCGTTTGTCTGACACCTATTCTTCTTGTTTTGACTGGAGAAAACATGGGTTAGAACTTGCTCGGTAAATAAAGTTTAGCATTGCGACACTGTACGCATATACTGTATTTATGAACGGGCCCTATTATGTCAAAAGATGCAAACCAGCTCTCACTCTGCACAGAAAGGGTTCACTAAGTTTGAAGGCACGCGTTTCCCAGCCTGTTTACGTAGCTGATTTCCAAGCCTTGGAAAGGTGGTGAACACCTTCCCTAGGAGAAGCTTCTTGCCAAACAGCCCCTATTCACTGGCATCCAATTCTAACCTTTCCTTCAGCTCCTTCCCTGTCATCAAATGGTAACACTGAAATAAATTGCTTCACTAGTAATAGGAAAAATACATAATACAAAGCAAAGGCTTGGCTTAGGAGAAAAGAACATTATGATTATATAGAAGTAACCATATAAGCTGTTATTAACTGTGAGGCTCATAACACTGTATGAATATCTCAATTATATCACCTCTCTGGATTATATAATAAAACAGCATAATGAGCTTCATTTTAACTTGACAAGGCTGAATGCTGCTCCTCTTTTTAAAAAGCTTTTTATAAAAGCACATTCCCTCCTAATACTTGACTTGCAAGCACTCTAAAGACATCATGTACAAAATTAAAAATAAACTTCCTCATTTTCCTACCACTGTTGCTTATCACTACCACAGTATCCACAAGATTTTCTTTATAAAGAAATCAGCTTATCCAATCATCTTCTCGTGACAAAGGGTGCCATGCCATTTGCATCACTTCTAAAGGTTAAGTAGATATGTTTGTTCTAGTTCCCCTAACTTTTTGATTAATTTGTCACAGTCTTCAGTTCTGGGACTGTGCGAAAACATTTAAATCCTACCTTTAATAAGGAAATACTACAAAGAATGAGCTTGCTTTGCCAACGTGTCATCAAAACCCCAAACTTTTATTATCAGTCGCACGGTGAAGATACATGCAATTACTGCAACTATTTGCTGAAAACACACTTGCTAACTCTGTAACTGTCAGTGACATCCAGAGCTGGGTGCTAGCTGGTGCCAAGGCAGCTGCCAAAAGCTCCAAGTCCAAAAAGGGGAAAGGAGAGGATTAAAGTATTATTCCTGTTTCCAAGAATAAAGTACTGTAAATGAGCTAGTCGCTTGCTAGGTAGTAATTTTCTGGTGTTTATATGGTAAACTTCTGCAAAGTGAATTGCTGTTGGCATCACGGACTTTACAAAGCAAAGGTACTTGCCAAAAGGCAGCTTCACTGGAAGTATTGTTCAAGTAAACATGGAATAGAAAGTCATTAAGCAAAATGAACAACAGCTAATTTCGCTGTGATCATATCAGGAACATTAAGTATTTTTGTTTAAACTTCAGAGTCTGAGGTACAAAAGAGCACATGGTGATCATGGGAAACTTAGCAGTACATAGAACAAAATCCTGGCTATAGTTCATGTAGGAATGGGGTTATTTTTGCCAACTGAAAAGAATAACGTCTCCAATGCACACTGTTTTCACAAATACTGTCAAATTTATCTTTAGTCTAGATATACATGAATACATATGCGCTTTGTGCTCCAACTCACACTCCTCTATTTTCGTTCCTTTTGCGGATAAACCAGCAAAAATAAAGTATAAAATTCAGCTTAAGTTTTCTTCATCAAAATAGTTCAATAGTTGGTTTTCTTTGTGAAATCCCTTTGCCCAGAAAACCACTTCTGTGGCTAGGAGGGATGGGATCAGCCAAGACACATCTGCACAGTAAGTAAGCAGAAGAGACACCATTTCCAATGAGGTTCCCAATACTACATCATATGAAAAGGAGATTTTTGTCCCCAGTTACATATATTTCATAAATACTGGAATCTAGCATGCAGAAAAAAGTTCACAGGTTCACTCTTTGGTCACAGAGATATTCTGTAACCAGAGTTGTTCTTATGCCAAAAGCAGCCTACAGGAATCGGGGAACCTTTGGTTTTTTTCTTTTCCTCCCACCTGTCAGCTACTATGTCAGGCCAATCTAGGATATACTTACACTTAACTTCTGACACCAAAATATTGATGAAATTGCCATTAGTAGACCAGATTTAAAAATAATAAATTTTGAAAAACTTCTTTTCTATTCTACATATTTCAAAATTTAAAATATGTGGAAGGATTCTCCTACTCTCTCCTCGTTTCAAAAACATGTGATGTAATGCTGATAACCAAGGTTGCTACTTTATTTTCATTTTTCTAATAAACTGCTAAAAATGGCAAAAGATTAAAAATGCAGTTTCTATACAACAGCATTTTTCAGAACTTCCTCAATTTTCAAAGTGTGGAACTGCAATACAAACCCTTGAAAATACTGACATTTCCTTCCAATAATTCAAGAAGATTTTTTTTTTTTCCCCCAAAAAATCTGGACACCATTCACCCCACTGCATTTTGCTGATAAAAAGAAAAAAAAGGCAAGTGAATAAATAGTTCAGTATTTAGAGTCCCTAGAACCTATAATCTTGTATGTTTATAAAGAAAAAAGGTGAGGCTTTTTTTGAGGAGAAAGGGGTTAAATAAATTTAACAAAAAATATCCTCCCCCAATTTAATTCTGTTGTCGTGTGTAAGCACAACAGAAAAGGAGGCTACTGAAGCAACTGATACCACAGCATATGACTATGAATGTTTTAATGTTTTCACTCAGCCCCACATTGAAAGATGGAAAAAAAAAATATCCAGCGATGAAAGCCAGATTTTTCAGCATATTTCTACCTTGGTTCCTAACTAATACAATGTTTTAAAACAGTTGGTGATTTAATTCCGCAATAAATTTCCTTTCACTAACCTTTATTTTTGCTTCTCTATGATATAAGCTGCTTCTTGCAGACATTTTCAGGAATTAAAAAATGTAACAATGACTTTAAAACTCATAATTCTTCAGTGAGAATGAAATGTCTTTTTGCCTGAAAAACATTACTCACCTACAGAACTTTCCTAATTTAAATTCTAATTTATGTTCAGATTTTAATTAAACTGGCATCTGTTTGAGCTGCTGCTGAAGAAAGAGGATGTATTACAATGGTGTACATTATATACGGCATTATTCAAAAATACTATAAACTAACAAACGTGTTCATTTGTAGTATGGTGCATTACTGAGTGCCCTCAAGTACTGTACTTTAAAAAAAAAAAAAAAAAAAAGTAGTGTAACACAGTATACACACCAAGTCCACAATGACTGATAGCTAAAAAAAACCCAAGGGAGAATTCATTTGCTTAAGAACATCTGAAGTATCATCTGCAGCTCACTGACTGCAGGACCTGAAGTGACAGCCCATCCTTCTTCAGGAAAACCCCGAGTCACGTCTGTGACTTCGAGGGGCTGAGGTGGCTGGGACCAGCGTGTTTGAGACGGCGGGGGACACTGGCAGGGCAGACACGGGGGGGTTCAGGGTTCCAGACCTTGCTTTTTTTTGCTTTAAATAGCTCAGATGTGGTAACCTAGCTTTGTAACTCCATTTTAGGGTTTTAGGTAAAATGTGAATCTATTTACCAAATCAGTGACAATTAAGAGGAACTTTCTTCCACAGAAATAATTATGGCTTCTGCAATTTTTAGGCAGATCTTTAATTCTTTTGAAATCAAAACAATCTATAGAGATATACTAACAACAATAATCTTTGGTTGCACCAATAGGTATTTACTCAACTGCCAAAACTGTTGAATACTAAGGAGTGACCAAAAATTGTGTTATAAATTAATAAATTACTATAACATATTAATTTTCACCTAAATTCTCAACACCCGTATACATCCATAGCACATCACATATATGGAGAACTTCTGCTTGCATAAACTCATTTTAGACATCGTTTAATCTCTTTTTTGTAGTCTCGTAAGAGGTGAACTTCAGTTCCCCCTTGTGCCAGCCCTCTGCCAGCCTGTTTCTACTCCTTCCACACCCTAGCATTTTCCAGAGGACTTCTACTGAGAGCAAGACCTCCCAGACGGCTTTTGCAGTCTTTCAATCAGCCCTTATTTTTAATATGTCTGACACTATTGTCTTTCTCCTGGGAACATGACATAGTTTAGGCAAGACATTCAAGAAGAGGACCAAAACAGGACTATGATTACACCTCAGAAAGCTTCAAGTAGCTCCCTCACCTTACATGAAATGACATTTGGGTGCTTCAGGCTGAGTGGACATATCTGTGGGCAACAGATTGTCCTGTACTGATCTTTTGCCATTCCCAGCAAAGGCACTAGTTTCTAACAGATCCCCCTAACTAGTCCTCAACCACGGACTGATATACTGCAGGACACAGTGTCGATCAGATGTCAGGCTAGAGTTGGGAATTTATTTCTGAATATGTTTTTTAAGATTTTACATTACACTTCATACAGTACACTGCAAAATATTTCCCATTAAAGAATCTAGCTTAACTGTATGACATCACATCTCAAAGGAAGGTATTAGATGGAGCATATTCCTTCCCTCGTTTCCTCTTTACGCTTGCCATCTCTTGAGGCAGTAACACTGATTAAATAGCCTGCTGTTATGCTCGAAGTCCCATGATTTTCCTGGTTTCCATGAAGTACCTTTTTAAAAGTGGATCATGAAAATTGCACTGTAAGAACTCTAAATTTGTAAATGCAAAATACCCCTTTATTTATTTACAGCCAATCAAGTGTTCTTAATACTTATTTTCCTTATTAACTTTTCTCTAGTCAGTCAGTACACCAATTTTTTTTTCCTCTGGAGACCCACTTATGTCCTGGGAATAGAGTCAAATCTTGATCAGAGACTGCACAAAAATCATCCCAAGTGAACAGCGGGCCTCAGAGACTACACTTCTTTTTAGAAAGGAGGGAAAGTAGCACTTACCCTGCTGACTTCTTTAGGCGTCGTTTCATCTAAGAGGAAACAAAACAAACAATCAGGCACTCAGGGAAGTTTCTAGACTGAATGAAGAACAAGATACACACTTCAAACCATTTTTGCACCGTTGTACAAAACTTCTAACAAGGTTCAGTAAAGTAACTGAAATATCCTGAGACTGGTGTGCATTTACAATCTTTTAAACTTCTAAATCTAAAAGTGAATTAAAATTAGGATAAAGTATTCAGGACTTCTGTCCTGACTTAATAAGAATACGAAGATTCCTACATTTCATAAGACAATTCACAGGCCAGCTAAACCCATAAGTCCTATATTATTCTCCTCCATTTATATTCAATTCAGTAAGACAATTGTTAGCATTGCACAGTCTGAGAAATAAAGGCTCTTTGCTACCAAGTATATGCCACCAACATCCTACATAAATGAACAAGTTCGTGAGTAGACTTAGACTTTCTGTTCTGAAGATCAAAGATGCTATTCCTGTTGACTTCTTTGGATGTGGGAAAAAAAGCCTTGTGACCATAAGACTACAAGAATATCACTGATGTGATCTGGCATAACACGTTAAAAGCTCATAGATTACAAGGGGTTTTATATATTTTTTTATTTATTTATAAATATATATACACACACACACTATTATGTTTTGTCCTTTCAAATGTAAGCAGACTCTCATGCATTTTTTTGTAATTTAAACACGTAAAAATAAGTACAGGTACAATACCAGAGCACTAGCTAAAACATTGAGTGATATTTCTGAAAACAAAGGGAAAACAGTTATACAGCAAGAATGCATCTGCCATTTGGAAACATGGAAACATTTCCAACTTCCAGTTCAGTCATACCAAAAGCAGCTTAAACACACCCTTACAAACCCCCAGTTGGTTAGCTGTTTCTGAAAACGTGAAAGGAAGTATTTGTAACCTCTTACTTGATACTAGCAATCAAATCACTATGCTTTGCAAATTAATTTTAAGTCACCAAATAGATTGAATCTCACAGAGAAAGATCGTATGTTTATATTTGTGGCCCTTTATTTACACATATTTTGATACATCTCTATTGAGTGGATTTTCACACATCTCTGTCAGATACAGACATAGTATCACCTAGGCTGCTTAACAGTACACTACATTTTCTCCAAAATCAACCCCAGGTGAAAGAGGGATCTCAAGACTCTCCTTGAGAAGGGCACATTTACAAGTATTTCAATGTTATCACCAGCAAAGGCTCTACATATCTTGCCATTTAAGATGAACTTTTAAACAATAAAGCTAGAAAAAAAACACATTTTCTAGAAAACAGATTTCAAGACCCAATTTCCAATGAAAGAACACCTGATAGTCATACAGATTTCTCCTCAAAATTGAGTGACACCAAGTAAAATAATATATTTTACAACTAGGAGTGATGATAAGTCATCTCTTACCCCCAATTAAATGATATACCTGTAATTTACACATGCAGAACACAGCGATAAACTTGGTTGAGCTATTTAAGGTAGTTCTGTTGTTTGCAATGCAATGTGTAACACATACTTGACAATGTTCAGTGATCACAGAATCTTCCTTGACTGGACAGATCTATATACCAGTTACAAGAACAGCCAAAGTTAAGACTCAAATCCATCTCCCCTACCTTATTTCCAACAGTGAGCAACAGAAGATGTGAACGACAGAAAACCAAGTGATAACATGATGACGCTTTCCCTGGAGTATTCTCTCAGTTTTCAGTAACCAATGGATCAAACGTTTCTTGAATCAGTGGTGATATTTTTCTCTTTAAAAGACTAGGATGGGGTTTTCTTCCTCACACTTTTGGGGGGCAGGAGGGGTGTTAGATTTTGTTTGTTTTTTAAACCTGAGCCATCATCCTTCAGCATTCACTATGTCCTCCGAGTTCCATGGTTTAAACACATATTATGAGAAAAACTACCCATATTTTCTTTTGAATCCGCACATGATGACTTTCACCTGACACCCTCTATTCACTTTGTGGAGCCTGTGCTTCTACAAAGCTCTCAAACGAGCCCTTCTCTGCTTCACACCCCGTCAGAACCTTTCCTGGCTGGAGAAGTCTGGTCTGGTTTGCTGCTGGTGCCAAGGAAGCCGCTCGGCACTGCTGGTCCCTCGCAGCGCTCCTGCCTCCTCTGTCCCACTGCATCCTGCCGGGATGGGAAGTCCTCAGCCACAGGCAACACTGCAGCTCAGGAAAACACGATGGGGACTTAAGCAATGACACAGGGATGGATTTAGGGGTCTTCTCTCTGCTTGAAAGGAGTAATTCCTAAGATTTTAACTGTTTCTTGATGTTTATTGAACAGTGGGCTAACATTTTCAAACATTTCTATTTTGTAATACCAATATCTCTCTCCAGAGCATTAACAACTAATTAAGAGACCACTACTGTATATGTAAATTTAAAAACATCTTCCCCCATGTAAAGCAGTCAGCATTTATCAGTATTAGCTTTGTCAGCTGTTTTGTCTCTCGGTCACTCAGTACTTTTAGCACCCCAAATAACTTCATAACCTAAAAAAAATATATTTTGTTAAAAAATCTAATTTTTCAAATTACCTTCAACCCTGCATCCTTTTACCCAAATCATTTATATATATGCTGAAAAGCATGGGTAAATCGTAAAATCATACTAGTGATCTCCCTCTAATCGAACAAAAAGAATTTATTGTAACATAACTAGTATAAATGACTACCATCACAATCCTATGGCTTTCACACCATTGCAAGACATAACTGCCACTGCAATTTCCAAGATGTTACAAATGCCATCAACCCAACATGGAACTTCCCACACATATGTAATGCTGTGCTTAAATTTGTATAACATGAGATACACAGGTGTCACTCACTCCTGCCTTGCGATTCATTGTTAATTCCTTTAATTACAATGAAGGAATCATACTTTTATTAAGAAGTTGTATAGAGGTATGAAGCCCCTGTCCAGGTCAGGGTCCATTTTGCTGGGTACAAGACATGAACACGGACAGACAGTCATTACATCAAAGAGCTTTTGATTTCTTTCTGTGAGGAAATTAAAAGAAATATGCCAACAGATCAGGAAGGAAAAAAATAACACCTATGGTACTCAATAAACATACGTTTTATGGAACAATTATTAGAGACAATACTTTTTCAGAATAAAAAACATATAATCAGTATGCCATTTTTTTCAGAAGAAAGGAAAACAAAGTGTTTGGGAAGTCTGGTATTAGAACTGTACAGATAAAGTTTGCAATTCAGGGATTATGAACTGGTGGGAAAAATGGAAGATATTTTTAGGGGAAGCAGGAAAGCAAAAGATGAGGGGGAGAGGGGAAAAATAGCATCAAATACTCTATTAATACATCTAGATACAAGTTAAATTACCACACAATGAGCTAGAAAATAATTTTCCATATTAAAAGAAACCAAAGGCCTAACAAGAGGCCTTCCCCCCCCCACCCCCCCCGCCCAAGAGTAAAGGAAGAAACGTGACCCCATGAACCGGGAGTGAATCAAATTGTTTTTCTGGAGATGCAGTCTTTAAGGCCCAGGTACATGCCGAGCAATAGGATGCACGTCCACCTCAGTGCTGGCACCACTTTGCTGTGGTTTTATCCATAGCACAGAGTACAAAACTTCCCTTACAACTTAGTTTCTAAATGCAGGGAAAATCATTGGAACAGCAGCTTTTCCCACAAATTATTTTAATAGCCAAAATACAGGATTGGTTAATATATGAAAGTAACAGGGGGCTGATGAAAAATACCCTCAATTTGCATACTCCTGTTAATTTAAAAGCCATGAATTCTGTTTGTTTAAAAGGTACAAACACAGCGATCTCTTATTTGTAAATCAAGTTCCACCCCTTTAAAATATGAAGCTTTTAAAGAAGCAGATTAACCATTAAAATAAATTCAGAGACATTAAGTACATCAATAAAGAGCAGCTTGCTATAGAGTTAAATCTCTCAGAAAAATTCTGTGCTTGAATATAAAGGTCCCCATTATGGCATATTGCGTGGGAAAACAGTCAGAGAGGGGAAAGTGTCTTATTAGTGTCTGCACTGAGGGAGATAAACACCCTGGGAGAAAGCAAGTGTTTGTGAAAGAGATCATACAAATGCTCCAGCCACTAGAAACTTTGCAGTTGGAGTTCCCTTTTTCTTTAGACATCAAATACAATCAACCACGATACATGAATAAGTGTCACCCTCTCAATCCCATTTGTTGGTAGTATTGCCGTTCACAGAATTTAGGAGGATCATATTAATTTTTTATGATACCTGACATTATTAACACAGAGTAGTACAAGAAACGTGTACGATTTAGTTCTGGCACTCTGAATATGCCAACATTCTTCTTAACAGTTTCAAAAATGAAGTGATGAACTCTGGAAAAGAAATCACTCTACGCGCATACATTAACTTAGCTGTACCGCTCGATCGCGGCTGTTGCGAGCTGTATTTTGAAGCCCAGGATCCTCAATGTGGCCTGATGCACGCCGAGGTAGGCAGCCAGCAGCAGCGCGATGGGAGCAGCTCAGACGAGCACACGACCCGAGCAAGAGGTGATTTTGTCCTCCAGAAGCACTAAGCATGCATCAGTAGCCCAGCCGAATGCCCTGGTTTAGCTGATGCTGTAAACTCCGTTATGTTCATGTCTTGTTAATTTGAGCATAAACACGCAGATACCACAACTGGAAAAACCAGGAACTGTGGAGAACCGAACTAAATTTCAAGGGCTTCCCCATCTCCGTACACCAAGTTTGCAGAGCAAAACCCTTGCAGCAGCAATGATGTTGTTCTACCCCACCGTGAGCTGGTTCAGCCCCCTGAATGTGCGCAAAAGGGTTCATTTTCTAAACTTTCAAAACCAGGTAACTATCCCAGACCACAAGAATAAAGTTAACTCAGTTTTACCTTCACAACTTTGCAAACATCGCTATTTAAAAAGCTCTCTTTCAGAGGTTAGTGACATTGGGAAGAAGCATGGAAGGATGAGAAGAGGTCTGTG